CCTCCAGCCTGCACAGGGAGAAGAGGGCCAGGTACCCGTGGGAGGCGCAGGGAACGTGGCCGGTGAAAGGGGAGCGAACAGGTGCCAAGTAGTTTGGTTCAGTCCAGAGACCACAGAGATTGGCAGGGAAACTTCTCATTCCACCAAATCTAGAACCTTCACCCTAAGCAGCCCTAGTCCACCAGGCTTTGAAGCTTGGGCTCCATGGGGGCGCCGCTCCAACCCTCCAAGGGTGACAGCTATCAGCATTACCACCTCTTCCTGTGCCTCAAGTATCCAATGTTTGTTCTCCCATATGCATGTAATTAAACGTGAAAATCACTTCAGTAATAAACAAAGTGAAGCCAAACACTGTCCTTGTCTCATTCACCAGACCTCCTGAGGGCGGTGGGCGGAGGTGACTGGAACCTTCCTGGGTTAATGTCACGACTCAGGGCCAGCAGGTGGGGTGGTAAGTAAGGCACTGGATCTCACATGGCCAACTGCAGTTCAAGTTCCAGACCCGACAGCTTGAAAATCACACCGGCCACGTGTGCACGTGTGCCCAGAATCCCAGGAGAAGGAATTGCTACGTGGTCATTGCCCTAGGGGATGATTTCTCACTTTCTCTCTCACCATTCTCTCTGTCTCTCTCTCTCTCTCTCTCTGGCGAGCGCACACACCAAAAATAAAAAAATAAAAAAAAAAAAAACAGAACAAAAGTCATGACCCTGTTGACTGCTGGAAAGAGCTGCAGTAGCTGGAAAGCATAGCAGCAGGTCTGAGATCTGCTTATGGGGAAGAGGAGCTCCCAACTTCAGGCAGCAGACATGTTCCCAAGGGAACAGCCAGAAAGCTAAATCCCAGTTCTACTGACTTCCACCACGAGACGAGGCTTTCATCTTTACGAAGGGTTGTAATCTGGAAATCAGGAACGTGGTGAGCTTCAGGGGACCTGGGCCTCTCCAAATGAGAAGCGCGACGCTGTGCGCACACGCACATGCTTGTGCACGGCTTGGGGAAGATGGCCATGGCTCGTGTCAAGTTCTGAAAGAAACACAGCCAGGCAAAGGCCAACAGCAACTGCTCTCCTCAGGGATGAACCCTCTGCACTTCATACACCCACAGAGGAAAGGCAGTTTTATAACGCATCGACCAACGGGGTCAGCTCCATGGTGCAGAAGTGAGGCACTGCTCGAGAAAACCTAATCCCACATGGAAACTGGTTCGACACCCAGGCCCAGTCGGCCTGAAATATACCAGGTACATGCCCGAGTGCCCAAGACTGAACAGC